CAATCCCACCAGCAATGCAAGAGTGTCCCAGTCTCTCCACATCCCCGCCAGCATTTATTGTCTTCTCCATTTTTCATCTGTGCTGTTATTGTTGGTGTGAGATGATATCTCATTGTTGTTTTGATTAGCATCTCTCTAATGGCTAGTGATCGTGAGCATATTACCACTATTCTTGATTAATAGATTTGTTGTTCTAGGGTAGTGTACAGAACTGTGTACCCTTGCAATGGCTACTGAAGCACCTATAATGTGGCACTGTGGGATAGGTTGGTTTGAACCCCAAGTTCGGCAGTTCAAAATCATCAGCTGCTCCTCAGAAACTCTATACAGGGTTGCTACAAGTCGGAGGTGACTTGATGGCACTTAACAACAACAACAACATGCCCCAAGTCATATACCTAGGAGAGCACGTCTGCTTTGTACCAGACCATTAACTTAGATTGATTTCAGCGTGAAGGTAGAAATGCACACTGTACAAATCAATGGCTACATTTCTAGTTGCACAAATGCTTAAGACATGTAATGAGTTGCCCTGTTATCACTTAGGCTCGTATTCTGCTGTGCTTTACAGTACTTATTTGAACAGCTTCCCAGAAAGGTAACATGTGCTAGGGATGTAGTTCACAAATTTTAATTCTATATGGGAGCCAAGACTGTGAAATATGCTTTGCTTTTATAATTCTTACTAAGTTTCAGTTCTGTTCTCAGTTACAGCTATGATTTGTCCCACTCTCTTCAATACAATCTCACTGTCTTGCGAATGCCCCTTGAGATGCTGAAGTCAGAAACGACCCAGGCTCGCCAGGAGAGCTTTGATATATTTGAAGATGAAGGATTAGTTACACAGGGTGGAAGTGGTAGGTGGTTTTCAACATACCAATCTATGCTAATGTGGTATCCGTGAAATGGCATCTTATGAAATTCACTTATATTTTCCTCTTGTTTCTCCATCCCTCATTTCTCTTTGTTTCTGATACATGAACTTGACCAATTCCTTTTTATAGAGATCATTAATTACCATGTGGTATCATTTGTAGGCTAGCCAGAAAATTGTATGCTGACATGTTTTCTAGCAATTATTTATGCATTATTCAGGTCTAGACTTTCAGGCATGTATCAATGAAGACTTGCTTTTTTAAAAACTGTGCTATCTTATTTTCCTTTGTAGCAGTTTCTTTTAAAACAGCTCAATAAGGACTGTTTTTGAAAGAAAGCAGCCATTGGTGACCTGTTGTGTGCTAGATATTTACTTAAAATATTTCTAATCTTCACCAAAGCTCTGCTCAGTAGTTATAATGCTAGTTTTATAGACATACAGACTCAGTAGGAAATTGAGGCCTCGAGATTAAACATCCTGCCCCAAATCACCTGGCGAGAGTCCAGAAGAGCCAGTATAGCAGAAAGGAGATTGCCCTTCCTTTGATAGTTCCAGTGTGACCCAGTGGCCCCTCCTGAGCCCTGTTTCTATCAGGACCACTGTATATGACTAGGCTAGGATGACCCCAGGCCCTGATTAACCAGTCACAGAACAGAATCAGCAGCTTATTCTCTGGGTTCTTAAGGTTAAGCTTGAACTCTAAAGCCAGAGGCATTGCCAATGAGAAGATAGCTATAAAGGAATGATTTAATAACTTTAAGTTAAGGCTGTTTAGCTGAATTAGACTATGGAAATAGCATAAGCTAATAGTGTCTCTGGGCATCTTCCTCTATGTTACTGAAACAATAGTGATAAATATGTGTGTGTCAAGGTTGACTCCAACCTGAAGTGGTCCCCAGGAACTTTATCTCCAAGGTGAGGCTATGATCTGTTAGCACTAACCAAGGTTGTGATCCACTCGAGGCCGGCTGAGGTTACTTAACCTGAATGTCATCCCTGGTATTGTACTTGACTCTTACTAGTTTAAGAGCTGTGTCCTCCACCACTACTCTGCGTTGACTTTTAGCTTTACTAATGCATTTGCTCTTGTGTCCTGAATTCCCCCACCATTTCCTCTTCTTTTAAGTTAAACACAAGTGAGAAAATGTACTTGTTCTTTGATTTTGTACAGAAGCAGCACTGTGTTCTGGATGAGGATTTTCATCGACACCTACTAAAAACGGCAGTGGTGTAAAACTGAAATTTAACAACTTTAAAATGATTTGAATTTTAACTAATTGCCATATATTTCTGATAATGACTTTTATTTTTTAGGTGTATTTGGAATCTGTAGTGAACCTTACATGAAATATGTGTGGAATGGTGAGCTTCTGGAAACAATTAAAGATGTTGTGCATCGTGACTGGCTGTTGTATATTATTCATGGGTTCTGTGGGCAGTCAAGTATCCTTTTTTAAAAACAATTAATAATATATGGTATGTTATTAAACATATGCTGTACCAAGTTGTAGATTGCTGTATACTGTAGGATAAGCACTGGACTGCTAACTGCAAAGTTGGCAGTTCAAACCCCAGCCACTACTAGAAACCCTATATAGGATCACTGTGAGTCGAAACCAAATCTATGGCATTTAAAACAGCAACAGCATATACAAATTGGAGTGTTGGTGGCACCATAGGATAAACATTGGACTGATAACCACAAGGTCATCAGTTCAAATCCACCAGCTGCTCCTTGGGAGAAGGATGCAGCTATCTGTTCCCAGAAAGATTTATAGCCTAGGAAACGGGAAGGCAGTACACACGTCTAGGAGCAATGATTAGATTTCTTATGTCACTTTTTGAGATCATGTAGGGTATTGTGCACCCCACGTGTTTCCTAGGTGCTGTTTTTCCTGTGTCATAGGCTTTTGGAAGACCTATAGTGAAAGCTTTAAAGGAAAGGTTGTTCTATGGTCATCTAGTGAGTGGATGTGATGAGTACTGTCATTTCCCATTCTTATACCAGAACGTTTGGAAGGACTGCAGTTGGTGGACACTGCTGTAGACGTCAGCTTTGAAGAGGGTCAGTGGTACCATCTTTGTGGGAAGTAAAGGATAGGAGCAGTTAGATGAAAACAGACACAGCTTGACGAGGAGACGAGTGAGATTATGTGCTACACTTGAAGTCAGGCTCATTACTTCATAATCATCTTCAACCACTGGGAGTTGAATCATCTGCTTCATCAGTCACTGAATGATGATGAGCTGGACCCTCAATTACTTTTTATCTGTTTCCAAAAGTAAAAGCTACGTACGTGGGAAGAACACAAGTTTTTACCACCAAGGATGCAAAAGATAATGTGCTACAATTTCTAAAGACAGTTCCTAAAAGGTCATTGTAAGCGGTTTTATTGTTCCAGAGCTAGTTCAAAGGCCTGGCATATCTTAAGCACAATAAATGTTTATTTTTTACAATAGTGAACAGCATCATGGATTATCATTTTAAAAACTCATTAGTCTAAATAATGGATCTGGTTTCCTTGTTATTAAGCATCTAATGAATTCTGGAAGTCTGTATGATGATAAAAATAATTGCTATTTAGTGAACATTTACCACAGCCAGCATTAGGAGTTTTACACACCTTATTTCGTTTAGTCCTCTCCACCATCAACCACTAAAGCCAGTGATGATGAAATTGAAGAATTCTACCAATGTCCTCAGTTTGAAATTGATCAAACATGTAATCAAGATGTATTGATAATTACTGGTGATTGGAATGCAAAGGTTGGAAACAAAGAGGAAGGATCAGTGATTGGAAAATATGGCCTTGGTGATAGAAACGATGCTGGAGAATACATGATAGGATTCTGCAAAACCAATGGTTTGTTTATTTCAAATACCTTCTTTAGACAGCATAAAAGGCACATAAACAGATAAGACCCCTGTAACCGATAGGGGAAAGACACAATGGAAAAACTCCATAACATAAGTGAAAACAAGGCCGGGGCAGACTGTGGAACAAACCATCAGTTGCTTGTATGCAAACTCATACTGAAGCTGAAAAAATTAAAATACGTCCACTTGAGAACCAAAGTATGACCTTGAATATATCCCATCTGAATTTAGAGATCATCTGAAGAACAGATTTGATGCATTAGACAGTAAAGACTAAAGACCAGAAGGTTTGTGGGATGACATCAAGAACATACAGGAAGAAAGCTAAAGGTCATTAAGATTACAAGAAAGAAGGAAAAGACCAAAATGGATGTCAGAAGAGACTCTAAAACTTGCTGTCCATAGTGGAGATGCTAAAGCAAGTGGAAGAAGTGAGGAGGTACAAGAGCTGAACAGATCATTTCAAAGGTCAGCTGAAGAAGACAAAGTCAAATATAACGAAATGTGCAAAGACCTGGAGTTAGAAAATCAAAAGGGAAGAACACGCTCAGCATTTCTGAAGCTGAGGGAACCTAAGAAAAAATTCAAACCTCGGCTTGCAGTATTAAAGGATTCTTTAGTGTCTGATGTATATGTGGAGTACTGGTGTGATATTGTGGGTTAATGAAATGGATTGCAAAATCGGCTTGAGCTACAAGGTTGGCAGTTCAAGCTCACCAGCTGCTCCTTGGAAACCCTATATAGGGTCACTGTGGGTTGAAACTGATTCGATGGCACTTAACAACAAAAACAACAAATGAACAAATTATTGAATGATGCAGAAAGCATCAAAAGAAGATGGGATACACAGAGTCACTGTACCAAAAAGAAATGGTCACTGTTCATTCATTTCAAGAGGTACCATGTGATCAAGAGCCAGTGATCCTGAATGAAGAAGTCCAGGGTGCATTGAAGGCATTGGCAAAGAACAAGGCACCAGGACTTGGTGGAATACAAATTGAAATCTTTCAACAAATGGATGCGGCACTGGAGGAACTCACTCATCTATGCCAAGAAATATTGAAGACCTAATGAACTGACTGGAAGATACCCGTATGTGCTCATTCCAAAGAGAGGTGACCCAATGGAATGCAGAAATCATTCTACAATCTCTTTGATGTCCCATGCGAGTAAAATTTTACTAAAGGTAATACAGAAATGGCTGCAAGCATACATTGACAGAGAACTTCCAGAGGATCAAGCCAGATTCAGAAGAGGATGTGGAACAAGGGTATCATTGCTAATGTCAGATGAATCTTGGCTGAAAGCAGAGAATTGCAGAAAGCTGTTTACCTGTGCTTTATTGACTACACAAAGGCCTTCAATTGTGTGGATCATGACAAGCTATGGACAACATTGCAAAATATTAGTATTCTGGAACACTTAATTGTGCTCATGAGGAACTTATATGTGGACTAAGAAGCAGTTGTTTGAACAGAACAAGTGAACACCGAATGGCTTAAAATTAAGAAAGGTGTGTGCTAGGGTTGTATTCTTTTACCATACTTAATCTGTATGCTGAACAAATAATCTGAGAAGCTGGATTATATGAAGAAAAATGTGGCATCAAGATTGAAGGAAGACTCATTAACAACCTGCGATATGCAGATGATACAACCTTGCTTGCTGAAAGTGAAGAGGATTTAAAATACTTACGAAGATCGAAGACAACAATATGGGTTGCATCTCAATGTAAAAAAACAAAAATCCTCACTACTGGACCAATAAAGAGTATTCTTATTAATGGAGAAAAGATTGAAATTGTCAAGGACTTCATTCTTCTTGGATCAACCATCAACATTCATGGAAGCAGCAGCCAAGAAATTAAACGATGTATTAGGCACAGCTGCTGCACAAGACCTCTTTAAAGTGTTGAAAAGCAAATATGTCAATTTGAGGACTAATGTGTGCCTAACCTTAGCCATGGTATTTTCCATAACCTCATAATGCATGTGAAAGCTGGACAGTGAGTAAGGAAGACTGTAAAAAAGAATTGATGCTTTTGAGTTATGGTGTTGGAAAAAATATTGAAAGTACCATGGACTGCCAAAAGAACAAACAGATCTGTGTTGGAAGTACAGCCAGAGTGCTCCTTGGAGGCCAGGAAGACCAAACTTCGTCTCTCATACTTTGGACATATTGTTAGGAGGGACTAGTCACTGGAATATATCATATTTGGTAAAGTGAAGGGCTGGAGAAAAAGAGGAAGACCCCCAGTGAGATGGATTGGCACAGTGTAAGCATCAGTGGGCTCAAATGTAGCAACAATTGTGAGATTGGCCCAGGACCAGGCAGTGTTTCATTCTGCTGTGCATAGGGTCGCAACGAGTTGATATCGATTCGATGGTACCTAACAACAACAATAACAACAACTACCTAATAAAGTGTTACTTTATTACTGCTTACTTCCTTTTACAAAAGATGACACTGCACCTCAGAGAGTTAAAAAGCTGCCTATTGGTCAGGCAGTTCACAGTCATTCACTCTGTTCAGTTTTTGTAATTTGGACTTTCTGATGAAGATCAAGTACTGCTGTCTTCAATATGGATGATGCCTCAATGTAAAGACAAGAAAGAGTCTCACAACTGTATTAACCAACAACATCACAGTAATTCACTCTGTTCAGCTTTTGTAATTTGGACTTTCTGATGAAGATCAAGTACTGCTGTGTTTGATATGGATGATGCCTCAATGTAAAGACAAGAAAGATTCTCACAAGTGGATTAACCAACAATATCATGATAAATAGAGAAAAGATTGACATTGTTAAGGATTTCATTTCATTGGATCTGCAATCATTGCCTGTAGAAGAAGCAGTCAAGAAATCAAACGACATATTATATTGGGCAAATTTGCTTTAAAATACCTTTTTTTTTTTGATACTGAACTGCTGTTTTATTTAATTATTTCCTAATGCTATTGATCTATTTCCAAATATCAAAATACTTGTGCATTCCCAGCATAAACAACATCATTGTGGTGCATTATTCTTGCTCTTGTTAGGGTTTCTTAAGTATGATTTTGCTGAAGATTTCTGTCTTTTTTCAGAGCCGGAACTGACTCCACGCCACCAACACTGCTCTTACTTCTGACTCATAACAATCCTGCGGGATCAATTAGAGCTCTTGTAACCTGTGTAGTAGCAAACTGGTTCATCTTTCTCCCACAGAGCAACTTGCAGGTTTGTTACCACTGACATTTTGGTTAGCAGCCTGATGCCTAATTCACTGTGTTACCATGAATTCTTATTTACAGTACAAGTTGTGGATTATTAGTGCTATAAAATACCTTTTTAAAGTGTTAAACATTTTAAAGTTAAAAAGTAAAGATGTCACTTTGAGGACCAAGGTGCACCTGACTCAGGCCATGATATTTTCAGTCACTTCATATGTGTGCGAAAGCTTGACAATAAGGAAGACTGGAGAAGAATTGCTGCCTTTAAATTATGGCCTTGACACAGAATATTGGCTATACCATGGACTGCCAGAAGAAGGAATAAATGTCATGGAAGAAGTACAGCCACAATACTTGTTGGAAGTGAGGATGGTGAGACCGTCTCACATACTTGGGACATGTTGTCAGGATGGACCAGACTCTGGAGAAGGACATCATGCTTGGTAAAGGCCAGTGAAAAGGAGGAAGACCCTCAATAAGATGGATTGACACAGTGGCTGAGACATAGCAGTGACTATGAGGATGTGCAGACTAGGTAGTGTTTCATTTTGTTGTACAGGTTCTTGTTGTTGTTGTTAGGTGCCATCAAGTCGGTACCGACCCATAGCGATCTTATGCACAACAGAAGGAAACACTGCCCGGTCCTGGGCCAACCTCACTACTATTGCCACGCTTGAGTCCATCGATGCTGCCACTTAGCCAGTCCATCTTGTTGGGGTCTTCCTCTTCTTGTCTGACCTTACCAAACATGATGTCCTTCTCCAGTGACTGGTCCCTCCTGACAATATGTCCAAAGTATGAGAGATGAAGTTTGGCCATCTTGGCCTCTAAGGAGCACTCTGGCTGCACTTCTTTCAAAACAAACATAGGTCAGTGTAAGTCAAAACTGATTTAACAGTACCTCAGAACAACATTTCCTCAAAATTGTGTATTGCTTTATAATGTAAACATTCCATTACGTGATACACATTTTCTTTTTTTTGAGAGTTTCATGATATCTGAAGTCTATGAAAGGATTAGTGGAAACTCTTCAGCTCTTTTTACTTGGCTAGAAGGAAGTAGTAGGTTTTTCCTAGGCTAGTTACCTTACTATCCTGGTTACAATTTCTTCTGGAATTCATAGAAACCATTCTTTAGGCAGGGTTGCTTTCTGCCCTTCTACCTGTACAGTTCTGAAGAACAGCTAGATCCAGTGCTGATCCATTCTTGGGTGGAGCTTTCCGTTGTTTTTTAACCTGTGGGACAAGACGTATCTCAATATGCACTTACTGGTCTCATATGAACGGGTCAGAACCGACTCGATGGCACTTAACAACAACAACTGTCATGAATGCTAAACGACTTTAACTTGATTTCTAAGAGCTGTTGATCTACGGACGGCCAGTGTACGTCACTCTAATAGCTAGAAGATCCAGTAAATTTGCTGGAACCCGTTTTCTAAAGAGAGGCGCAAACTGTGAGGTAAGCTGTAAGTCAGCACTCGTGCTGTTTTATTCCTTAACAACTTTGCTGACATAGATGAAACCAAGTGAAATTTTAAGAAGTGGAATTTCTTAATTTGGGATATTATCAAGAGAATAATTACTATCTGAGACTTGTGAGAAATATGACTAATATACAGATGTTCTGAAAAGTCAGCTATCTGAGAGTTTTATAGTGCTGCAGGGAGTTATGAAATATCTAATGATTTGGAGGATGAACAGTTTCTGTAATCTATGGAAAAACAGAGTACATTTTAAATGTGGAGATGGAAATAGCAAACCACCTCTACCTGAAGAATAAGTGGAGGGAGGACAACAATCGCTGGAAGCACGTCCTCCTCCAGTCCCAAGCCCTGGGGAGCACATCCTTGGTAGGAAGGTTAAGTAGAGCAAGGCATTGGAAGTCCTGTGCCCTCTACCCCCACCTTGATCTTGGTTCATTCCACTCACTCCTAAAGAATGCCAACAACCCTAATCAGAAAAATGCCCAAAACCTACACAAAATACACCACTGTCATAAAGGCACACATGAAAGGTGTACTTAAAAAAAATGCTCACATGGAAAATAACACACATGGAAAAATGCCCATGCAGAAAATATGCACATAAAATTTTTTTAATGTGAAAGGTTGGGTTGACGTTTGGGTTCAGGTTAGAATTTATTACTGTATAATATTGTGAATATGAGAATTTTTTATGTGCATATTATTCCATGCATGTGGGCATTTTTCTGCACAGGCATTTCTCTGTGTGTGCCTTTCTCCATGAGTGTGCTTTTCTTGTAAGCATTTATGACTTTTTTCTTATGTGTAATTTTCATGTGTATTATTTTCATAGATCCCCCAAATCTGTCAACCTTGCCACATCACATAATCTCCTTTGAGGCCTCCAACTCTAGTTGCAAGCTCATGTAGTGTGTGAGTAGACAGACTGAGTGAGGCATTGGGTTTTGAAACAGCAAAATTGTTCTAAACAGCATACCAACAATGAAACGGGTATTTTAAGAAAAGGTTACAATTTGGCAGCTATATATTCTGAAGATAATCAAACAAAAAGGCTACTAATAACTCTGAAATTAATAAAGCCACTTCAAGCTCCTCTCTCCCCCCACTTTGTTTTTAATGTCCATTAAACATTATTTGAGCTTTATGTTTTTGTTCTTTAATTTCTCCTTGGTTTTCAGAATTGACTCTTGATGTTCTGTTGGCCTTCCTATCCTCCTATATATAATCTCCTGTGTTTGTATTCATGTGTTTCTCTCCCTCACCATTTAAAGCAACCACTGAAGCTGTTCTCTGGAATTACTTATACAAATAATGCCACGTGTATGATTAGCTAGTCCATGCTCTACTATTTTTAATTACGTTCCTTTATTGCATTTAAATTTTGTTTTACTTATGTACACATTGAATGTTGATCAACATTTAAAAGAAATAGTGTAATGGTAAAAATTATAGCTTCAGTGTATACTTGAAATTTTTTTACATTAAAAATTCTAAAAACATAAAATAATCACTTTAAATGCATATTTCATTTCAGGGTGATGTTGCAAATGAAGTAGAGACTGAACAAATGGTCTGTGATGCTTCGGTGATGTCTTTTACTGCAGGAAGTTACTCTTCGTACGTACAAGTTAGAGGATCAGTTCCCTTGTGCTGGTCACAGGACATTTCAACCATGATGCCAAAACCTCCTATTACTTGTATGTGGAACCATCTTTGTAACCGTAATCCTTCTTTACCCATATTTAAAGATAATGAATGATTTTCACAGACATATCACATAAGTTATTAGGTCTCACTGTGTTTTTTGTATTGGAAGATAGATAATTTAGAAGAACTTCTTTTTGTTTTTATGCAGTAGTGTTAAATTTTTCTTGAATTTTGACTGTGACTCAATTATTTGTATTTCACTTCAGAAATATAAGAATCATTCAGATTCAATAAGACACGATGAATGAATGTTTGATGTTCCCCTTGAGAAGCATTTGGGAAATGAAACGGTTTGAAGATCGATTGAATTATATTTCTTTAAACATCAAACACCCCTACACAACTTTTGTTCCTGCTTTCTAATTTGCATCCTGTTATTTATTCATCCTTTGTTCGCCTTCAGTGGACCAGGCAGATCCGTTTGCACATGTGGCTGCCCTTCACTTTGACCAGATGCTTCAGAGGTTTGGCTCTCCCATCATCATCTTGAACTTAGTGAAGGTATGATGTACTTTGATTTTGAAATTCAAACACACTGAGCAACTTTTTCTTTTTACCTTTTCTTTTTTATATCATATGTCAAGTCTGTATATGGTTGTGAGTACAGTGTAGGCAACTGAAAGGTTAACAGGGCTCCTTGAGAGGAAGATCTGGTGATCTGCTCCTATAAAGATTGGAGCCAAGAAAACTCTCTGAGACAGTTATTCTGTCATATGGGTTTGCCTGTGTACCTAGGAAGGATCAGTGGTAGGTTTCTAATGGAAGAAAGTAATGCAGTATGTCGGGCTCTTGATGGCTGTATGTGGACTAGGTACAGATAGAATTGTTGCTGTCATTTCCAGAGCAACTTGAAGAAGGAAGTATGGAGATCGAGTTGACATACCCTAGCCTGAGTATAGCTTGCACTCTTTCTGGGGAAATCAGTACATAGTAATAGGATCAGTCAACTAGAGTCAGAAAGTGGGATACTGTTGTGGTTCTAGAATGATGTGGGCATGTGAGCAGCCCACACAGGGTGGTAGCATTAGCCTCATAGTTCTCTGCTTCCTTGCCAATGTGCACTGAGCATATCTTGTGAGAATGAGGAAGCATACAGTCCAAAGGCTTAGGGTGGAGGGCTGGGAAAGCAGACAGTAAATTTCATCTGCTTCTGTTATGAGCAAATGAAAGAATCTGTCAGCAATCAAGAAGACCCTGAGTGTATAAAATGCAAGGGCTTTACTATGTTATGATTGTGGTGGTGGCCAACAGCCCAGTAGTGTGAGGTTGGTTAATAAATATAACTCATTATGCTCACCAGCTGCTCCTTGGAAACTCTATACAGGGTTGCTATGGGTCAGAATCAACTCGATGGCACTGAACAACAACAACATCATAATTAAAGACCAAGGAACTCTGTATCCATTTGTTGTTGTTAAGTGCCGATGAGTTGATTCTGACTCATAGATAGAGACCTTGTGTAGGGTTTTGGAAGAGTGGTTGGTGGGTTAGCAGTCTAGATCTTATCCTACAGTGCCACACCAGGATTCCTGTATCCTGTTAGTCAGTCATTTCAGGAGTAGTTTTGAGAGTTTCCTTTGTACCAAACCATAGCAGAACAGTTTCTTGCCTTCTAACAGTCCAATGGAGGAGATGGTGAAGTAAATGCAGAGGGACCGAGGCAGGTGCTTATAATAATGGCAGAAAAGTTCTCCCTGTGGAAATGATGAATCATCTGTAACCTGAGAGAAGAGGTGTTTGTTCACAGGCCAAGCAGAAAAGGAATAGTCTTCACCTTGGAGAGAGCAGTATGTACGAAGGCATTGAGACAGTAGGATTTGAGGAACAGAGAAAGGCCAGAGTGAGGGCAAGAGAGCCTGTTGTGAGATGAAGCTGAAGAGAGTGTTATGACCAAGCCACGCACAGCCTTGTGGGCTATGTTAAATGTTGGACCTTTATCCTCCTAGTACTTGATAGCTCTGAAAGAATTTTACACTGTTGAGAGGATCATGATTAAATTTACATTTTCAAAGAATTATCCTGACCTTAACACAGAACTAAAGGAGTGGGACAAGGCTAAATTGCATCTGACAAACCAAATTAAAACAGCAACAACAACAAAAATAAAACCCCACAACAAAACAGTATTGAGTCGATGCTGACTCTTGGCAACCCCATGTTTTTCAGAATAGATCTGGCCTCCATAGGTTTTTCAATGGTTGTGATCTTTCAGAAATAAATCACCAGGTCTTTCTTTTGAGACATCTCTGGATTGATTCAGACTTCCACTTGTCAGCTGGCAAGCTTTATAACTAACCACATGGGCTTCAATGATCAAGGTGTATGTGTGGTGTGAGTGTAGTCAGGCTGTGTGTGTGTGATCAAGAGTATGGAGGATCATGACCTGAAAGTGTCAGTGGGGAGGCCAAAGAGTCGATCTGCTCCTGTTTTTCTCCTTTTTGTTCTTTGGTTTATATAATTGTTTCCTACCAAGAATTGACTTTGTATAATATATTTCTCAGTTAGTTAATACACCATGTTCTAGCCTTTTATTCACATTAATTCATAAGTTTCATATTCACCTATCTCTCCTTGCCAACTCACAATAATGTTAGGTAATAGCTGCCTAACCTATAGCCTTAGATTATTCATGAACAATAGCTATATTGGACGTAATTGAAAAATTAAAATGGGGAAACTTTAATATTAGAAACACTCATGAGCACTTTTTAAGCAAATATATAGAAAGTAAGATATTGTCTGTATAGAAATAAATGACTGTTAAAACATTAGATGCCAAAGTATCACAAGGTGTAAGTCGAGATCTAATAAGTGGATCTTGTTCATATGTTGATGGAGGCCTTTTGGTATGGTTGAAAAGCTATGGTTACGGCCCAATGCGTAATCCACTAAGCTCCTTTAAGTCAACAAGAAAAAGAAAAGCTATTCGTAACATAATTTTTTTTGACATACTTATATCAGATCTGACATTTATGAGTGGGAAAGACAAGACTAATCAAGATTTGGTCATCCTATGTAAAGAACCCACTTTGTTTATGGTCCCAGATGGTGGTGGTGGTGGTGGTGTGCGTCGAGTCAGTTCCGACTCATAGAGACCCGGTATAGGGTTTCTGAGGCTGTAAACCTTTACTGGAGCAGAAAGCCTCATTTCCCTCCTGGAGTGCCTCGGAGATTCAGCAGTTTGAGTCTACCACCAACTCCATCAGTTGATTTAAAGTGCTTTTGAGAAAAATCCCAGCTATATAATTTAATTTCCTCAGAATTACAAATAAGCTTAAAATATTTTCATCCTAAATAGTTTTAACAGTTCTTCTTGTTGTTGTTAGGTGCCATTGAGTCGGTACTAACTCATAGTGACCCTATGCACAACAGAATGAAACACTGCCCGGTCCTGGGCCCACATCTCAGTTGTTGCCATGCTTGAGCCCATTGATGCTGCCACTTTGCAGTTCTTAATCAGCTCTAAATCTGTTTGATTTATTCAGTTGTATAAATTTGTTGTTGTTAAGTGCTGTTGAGTCGGTTCCGACCCATAGCGACCCTGTATAGGGTTTCTGAGGAGCCGCTGGTGAGCTTGAACTTTTTTTGGTTTTTACAATCATTATCTAATTAAATTCTGTCCACTGAAAAGTAATCACTGTAATTGACAACAGCATAGATGTATTCTGATGCCAGCAATTATGCCTTAACAGCTTTGCAGCATCATATTGCTAAATTGTTTGTTTGTAAGTGAAAGCCTTATCAGGGTAATAATTTTAAAAAAGCTAATTTTTATTGAAATTTTACTATGTGCCATTTGCTATGATAAAAACTTATGTTTTATCCCATATGTTTTTGTTGTTGTTAAGTGCCGTTGAGTCGGTTCTGACCCATAGCAACCCTGTATAGGGTTTCCAAGGAGTGACTGGTGGGGTTGAACTACCGATGTTGAGGTTCAAACTGACCTTTGGGTCTAACACTATACATTAATGCTGTAAAGGAGATACTATTGTTTTTCCAGTTTATAAATAAAACAAATGAAAGCTAAGGAGGCATTGATGGTTCTGTGGGAACAAGCTCTTCTTTCATGGGGGAGGTCAGGTTTGATTTCTGGCCAATGAACCTCCTGCGCAGCTACCACCATCTTGTCCTTGGAGGCTTGTGTGCTGCTAGGATGCGGAACAGGTGTCAACAGAGCTAGCAGACCAGGAAAAAAGGTCTGGGGATCTACTTCCCCCACATCAGCCAGTTAAAACCCCATGGATCATAGTGACCAGATCTCATTGCATATGGGTTGCTGAGAATCTGGGACTACTGACTCTGCAGCTAACAACAGGCGGGTTCAAGTCTTGCCCCAGGTCACGTGGCACAGCCAGCACTCCATTCTCTGAGCTTGTACTATAATCACTAGCCCTTCTTGAATGAGGCAAAATGTAAGGTTTACTTCTATAAACACCTCGCAATTTCCGATTCCTTGAACTACAGTGTAAAAGAGAAAAGTCCCTGCCTGGATTACTGCACAGGGTTTTTGAGAGATTCACATTTAAAAACTATGACCGTGTTATCTACCCTGCTAGTTTAGGGGTTACCCACCGAGACCTAGTCAGCTTGTTTGGTCTTCATTTGGCTGGAGTAGGGGTTCCCTTCTGGTCCTGTGGGCAGGACTGTGTAGGGTGAGGTGGGCCTCTTCAGGCTGCTAGGAGGAGATGGAGGAGAAACCCCACCCATATCCCTAAGTCTTTAAAGCTCATTCTTTGTTTACTTCAATTCAAAGCAGTATTCATTTCTTGGCATTTATATTATGTTAATCTTAGTCTGTAGGTTTCATTTCAGTATATATAAGATTTGGTTTGCTGTTTTATTCTCGCTGAAAAATTAAAAATATTTAATCTATTTTTCTAATTTAAGATCATTGTTGTTAAGTACCGTCAAGCTGGTTTGGACTCACAGCAACCCTCTATAGGGTTTCCAAGGAGTGGCTGTGGGTTTGAACCACCAGTCTTTCGGTTAGCAGTCCAGTGCTTATCTTACTGCGCCATACCAGGACTAAAGTCATTAGGACGCTCAAAATGTTGATTTATTGTTATTTTTTTTAACCAAGGAACGAGAAAAAAGAAAACATGAAAGAATTTTGAGTGAAGAACTCGTAGCTGCTGTGACTTACCTCAACCAGTTTTTGCCTCCTGAGCACACTATTGTTTATATTCCTTGGGATATGGCCAAGTACACCAAAAGGTGAATAGACAATCATATGTCTGGTTATGATATTTTCCTTTTCTTATAATGAAAAATAGCAGGGAGCTTATCTCCTGTAAGTAAATGTTACTGTTTTAATTTCCTTCATGAACCCGCTGAGGAGCTGTTTTGCTGCTGGCTCGTAGTTTGAATGTTGCAATGCACTGGCTGAACTCTCCGTTTGCCTGTATCATTTACCGTCACGTACATCATTTGCCATCACGTACATCATTTGCCGATTCTGCTTGAAGTATCTAGTCCTTTCAGAACAATACCGCTGTTGTTCATCCCTTAGAGGACTTGCTTTCCCTTTTTCCTGTTTCTTTCTCACTGTTTAATCACTTTCTCAGATGCTACTTGCAGAGTCTTTCATTCTTCTTGTGGATGAGGGCTGCAGTAATTCTGGGCTATTTATAGTAAATCTGAACTCCTTAGTGTAGTGCTAGGGCATCATCACCCAGTTGCCTCCAGAATGTAATAAATTTTCCTTTATTCTAAGGTTGTTCTGTTCCAGAAAAAAAAAAAAAACCCCACTAATCTTCATAGTTTACTCCAAATGTAGCAGCCAAGGCTCTGTCCCTGAGCCTTTGCTTCCGCCATTTGACCTCCCTGATTTTCCATATTGCTTTTACCTTTCAGGATCTGATTCCCAACTCACCTCTTCCAAGAAACTTTCTTACATCAACCTTGCTTTGTCTTTTTACTCAGTTACTTCATATGCATCATACAAGCACTAGGTTGATGTTGAGGTCTTCATCTTTAAAAATACTACTACATTGACCGTACTTTTTTTACAAATCATTTTATATAGTTAGATACCTGTACACACACAAACCCATACACACTTTCCTGGAGTTTAAGCTTAATTATTTATTGGTTGGTGTCATTCATGTTATTTTATTCTTACATTTGTTTTCTCATTCAATGTGCAGTTTACTCTTTTCACTTAGGAATCTTAGGCATGTGTATTGTATTGTCTTTACTGGCAGAACTCTCTGGAAGAGAGAAAAGCTTTGGAAAAAGCAATTGCAGGCATGAAATGTAACAAGATCAAAGGTTCCAGTATTAAGTTAAACAATCCTCCATGCCTCTTTTATATCAACTGTTGGGTGGTGATTGATTAAACATTGTATTGTGGAGTTCAGTTATTATAATGTTGCTGTTAAATGCCAGCAGGGGATTTAAAAAACTCAATCCCTGCATCTTGTCTCTGTAGACTTCATTTTGCTTGGATGGAACAATAAGTGTATATTAAAACCTGTTTTCTCCTCATGTTTCTCATTTTTCTCTCGTCAGCAAGCTGTGTAATGTTCTTGATCGGCTGAATGTGATTGCTGAAAGTGTGGTGAAGAAAACAGGTTTCTTTGTAAACCGCCCGGATTCTTACTGTAGCATTTTGAGACCAGATGAAAAGTATGTATGGTGTTTGTATTTTTTTTCAAAAATTAATATAAATTAAGAATTTTTCTTTTTAGGAAAAAAAATATTGTCACTATGAACAGTATGTAGTACTTAAAAGAGAATTTAATTGAATCCCTTGGTGGGGGAACTGTTCATCTGATTTTGTAAATGAATGTTTACTGGGTACAAGGAAATTGCTTTGGTGGATATCTACTTTGAGATGGAAGCCATGGGAGTTTGAACATGACAAAAAATATTTCTGTAAAGTAAAATTTTCTACAATGAATTCTATTTTCCAGTATTAAATTGTTGTTAAGCACCGTTGAGTGGGTTCTGACTCGTAACGACCCTGTATAGGGTTTCCGAGGAGTGGCTGGTGAGCTTGAACCGTTGACCTTACAGTTCAAACTGACCTTTCAGTCCAGCGCATTAACCTGCAGCGCAACACTAGGACTCTGGTATTAAATAGGAACAAGGAATTTTGCCCTTATTGACTCCTTACTAACATTTTAGATGAAAATAGTGTTTGTCATTGGCATACAGTGGTTGCTAGGAGCGGTCAGTTAGTTCCTACTCATGGCGTATGTACCACAGAATGAAACGCTGCCTGATTCTGCGCCAGCCTCACAGTCATTGCTGTGTCTGAACCCATTGTTGCAGCCTCTTTCTCAATCCATCTTGTTGAGGTTCTTCCTCTTTTTCACGAGACTTTGCTTTACTGAGCATGATCCTTCTCCAGGGACTGGTCCCTCCTGGTAATAGAGCTAAAGTGCATGAGATGAAGTCTCACCATCTTCAATTCTAAGGAACACACTTCTTCCAACACAGATTTGTTTGTTATTCTTGCTTTCTGCGGTATGTTCAATATCTTTGCTGATACCAAAATTCAGAGGTATCCGTTCTTCTTGGGTGTTCCTTATTTATTGTCTAGCTTTTCCATACAGATGAAGCAATTGAAAATACCACGGCTTGGGCCAGGCATACTGTGATAATTAAGATTTTGTGCACATCTATTTCCAACGTTTTATATTCAATTTGACTGGGCCAGGATTTCTCAGTGGATTAGCAGTTAAAATGTAGTTTATCATTTCCATGATGAGATTTAATAAGGTACAGTAAGCCCATGATGTGATCTGATGTGATCAGCTCTGATCTGATATAATTAATTATCCTTTGTATTGCAAGTCATCCCTTCTATGATGTTAATAAGACTAGATGTAATCTGTAAGATTAAACCGTATTTTGAGTTAATCTCTTTTGAGATATAAAAGGAGAGAGTAGTGAGCAGAGAAACAGGGACCCAGTAGCACCAAGAAGAGCCAGGCGTGGAATGAGTCCTTTGGACGTCTGTGAAGGAACACTGTGAAGCTCCTAGATCCAGGGAACGATTGATGCCAAGATACATGGAGATCTCCTCCAAGTAATGTTGACCTGCAGATGCTGAAAGGTGACAACGAAGCCTTCCCCTCGAGCCAGCACTCTGAATTTGGATTTCTAGCCTCCTAAACTGAGAGAGTTGTTGTTGTTATGTGCTGTGGAGTCGGTTCTGACTCATAGCAACCCTGTACAGGGTTTCCAAGGCTGTAAATCTTTACGGGAGCAGAAAGCCTCATCTTTCTCCTGCGGAACAGCTGGTAGTTTCAAACTGCTGACCGTGGGATTAGCAGCTCGATTCATAACCAGTACACTACCTGTGCTCCTGTGAGGCCAAGATGGCCAAACTTTGTCTCTCATACTTCAGACATATTGTCAGGAGGGACCAGTTGCTGGAGAAGGCTATCATGTTTGGTAGGGTGGAAGGTCAGAGAAAAAGAGGAAGACCCCCAGCGAGATGGATTGGCAAAGTGGCAGCATCAATGGGCTCAAGTGTAGCAATGATAGTGAGGTTGGTCCAGGATCGGGCAGTGTTTCGTTCTGCTGTGCATAAGGTTGCTATGAGTCGGTACCAAATCGATGGCACCTAACAACAAACTGAGAGAGAAGGAACTCTGGTAGTGTAGTGGTTACGAGTTGGGGTGCTAATCTCACAGTCAGCAGTTCGAAACTACTGGCAATTCTGCAACAGAAAGGTGAGGCTTTCTGCTCCCGTTAAGATTTATAGTCTTGGAAACCTGATGCAGGGTTGCTATGAGTCAGAACCACCACCAAACTGAGAGAGAATACATTTCTTGTTGTTAAATCCATCCACTTGTGGTATTTCTGTTATAGCAGTTCTAGGTAGCTAAGATACCCACCTTAGTCCTTGAAGTGACATCTTTGCTTTTGGATACTTTCAGGAGGTCTTTTGCAGCATATTTGCCTGATGCAATACATCATTTGATGTGCCCTTCATCAGGTCAAGGATTTGTTTTTTTTTTATCTTTTAAGAAAACAATATCATCGATTTCTAGCATTTTATATTCACTTAACATAATGAACGGCAATAGTGAAAACTTGGTTAGTGTATGTATGAGAACTTGGAAAATAATTCTTCTGTTATAGTTTGCATTTGTTATCATTTGAATTTTCGGTCTTCTTATTTTTAATAATTTAAAGAACATTATATAGCACTTAATAACTTACAAAATACATTCCCATGTGTTCATTAACATGTGGAGAAAATGAGTAGTTCTCCTAAAAGGGAATCTGTACAAAGCAAGTGAAGGAAAGTAGTGATGACCCCATGTAGAAAAGCTGGAGGTGGTAGAAAATTCCATTGTTGAGGAAAAGCCTGAGGGTGGAAGATTTTATGAGGGAGATGCTCAGCAGTTATGATTCATATCTGTAGACCAAGCAGGAACTGAGTGTAAACTGAAGCAAGAGCAGTTTTGGTTGAACATCGATGAAGCAATGCCAGGGTGCGAGGCACTGGAGCACATTAGGCTCCTCCTCTCCCAGGCTTTCTATGAAGTCAGGGATCGCTTTCCATCATGATTATTACCATGTTTATTCACCAGAAATAATGAAAGTCAGCAGAATCACAAGGAGTCCCTGGGTGGTGCAGACCTCCTAGGCAAAAGGTTAATCATTTGAATCCACCCAGAAGCGATTCAGAAGGTAGGTCTGACCACAAGATCACAGCCTTGAAAACCCTTTGGATCCAGGGCTTCATATGGATTCATTCCGGTTTGAATCCCTGCTGAGAATTTGCGTCTCCACCCTAGATATATTGAATCAGAGTCTACAGTTTAACAAGATCTCCAGGTGATTCTTAGAGATCCCCGTATGAGCACGGTTCTATCCTGCACCTATGGGTCACCAGGAGTTGGAATTGACTCAATCGGAAGCAACAAGAAGAAGAATCAAATGATTTCTTCAGGTGCATTCAGCTCATATTACTCTGATCACAAAGAATTCTTCACAAAGGAGCAGAATATCGAATATACCAATAACATGTTGGTAAAGCATTTATTTTTACACACAGGTGGAATGAACTAGGAGGATGTGTAATTCCCACTGGTCGTCTACAGGTATGGAAAATATTATCTTGATAATTAATAGAATCTGTATTCTTAATAATTAATAGAATCATGTTTCTGACAGCAGTCATGGACAGGTAAATTAAAATTATTTAATGCAAAATTAACCAATTAGGAATTATTTTTAGAGGTCTTACTGCTAGTGTTCAACTTGTATAGAAGGGTTGTTGTTGTTCAATGCCTTTGAGGCAGTTCCAATTCATAGTGACGCTGTGCAGTTTCCAAAAAGTGGCTGGTGAGCTTGAACCACTGACCTTTTGGTTAGCATTCCAGTGCTTATCCTACAGTGCCACAGCAGGACTTCGTATAGAAGGTTATGTAGTGGAAATAAATTGGCTCATGGATTTTTTTCCTATATATTAAATCTTATTAATGGAAATAGAAACACAAGCAGAAATGTAAAAAGAATTTAATTAAACTGGCTTTGGAAAGCAAGCCCAATACATTCACTACATATATTAATTATGCTTTAAGAATGATCTGAAAAAAAGAATGATTTGACCTCAACCACTGAATATTTCATTTCTACAGTAAAGGAGATAAATCAGAAAAAAAAGCAGCTAGTTGATTAATTGGTACATGTTGAAAATGTTAGCTACTTACTTTATCTTGTTAAACTAAGAAATTTCAAATATAGACTAGAAGGTTTCATGAGACTTTTGCAGCAATTTTACATGAGCAGCCAATATAATATGACCTTTTATAATCTAAGAAATGTTCATTATTTTGACCTTTAACTTTATATAAGATGAAATAATTCTTATTTGTTCAGGAACAACCTACTTGTACTTCTTAATTAAGTCAAAGTTAAAGTAGGGTGGAAGCAGTTGTTGGTTATTGAATATAATGAATGAAAAAATCTTAATGGCATTTATCTTTAGACTGGTGTTCTTCGAACCAACTGTGTGGACTGTTTGGATCGCACCAACACAGCGCAGTTTATGGTGGGAAAATGTGCTTTAGCTTATCAGCTGTATTCCTTGGGATTAATTGACAAACCTAATCTCCAATTTGATACAGATGCAGTTAGGTAAGACTTATTTTCTGCCTTTTTGTTGATAATGGCAGAATGCAAACCTGGTAAATCAGAAAGGCTTTTATGAATTATATTTCTACATTTAGCTTTTCAGAAAATGATGTTGCTAGGAGTCACTACTCAAATAATTTGGTAGTATATATCTCGCTGAAATTTGTGTGCTATTGTCATGGTTTTTGGTTTGTGTGTGTGTTGTCAAGAAACACTATATATTCTTGAGAGAAATTCTAAGTGGTTAGACAAGCTAATGTTGTTATTTTTTAGCGAATCCAAACTGCATTAAAAAAAATAACATGCCTACATGTGTTTTGAATTTAAATTGAGACTTATAAAGGGTCTATATTTTTAACACTTAAGGTTTCTTCACTGTCTGTTGTATCCATGCCATTGGATAAGGTACTATTTCTTGAAAATACAAAGACAGTTGTTGTTGGTTGTCTAGGGGTATTGCCAAGGCTTGGTCTGGGAAAGTGATCAGCTTTTAAATGGCCTAATTCACAGATCTTACTGTGCTGAAAGCTGGGCTTTGAGCCAGTTAATTCCAGTTTGAACCCTTCCTGAGAATCTGCCTTTCCACCCTACATATACAGAGTCAGGAATGTACAGTTTGTCTTGTTAAACTGTAGGTTCAGACTTAGTATATCTAGGGTGGAATGGCAAATTCTCAGGAGGGAGTTGAAGTGAATGGAAACTCAGACTGGAAGTCTTAACAAGCACTTGAAAAAGCACAAATTGCAAACATGCCCATGTTTCTGCCAAGGAATATGGTTTATCTACCTGTGACAAGAGCATGTCATTTTATTCAAAGGCAATTCTGTCATGGGAGTTGTTGAATTGATTTCACAACCTACAGAAAAATTGTTGTTGTTAAAGTGCCATCGAGTTGTTCCAACCCATAGCGACCTTGTATAGGGTTTCCAAGGAGTGACTGGTGAGTTTGAACTGCCAACCTTGAGGTAGTGTGTTTATCTTATAGCACCACTTGTACTCTTAATTTAAGGTTAGAAACAGCCTGGTCTGGCATTGGTGGGCCATGTTTCTTGTGCTCTTGGCTTCCTTTTTAGTGTTTCCTGTGACTGTTGCCCATTGGAACATTCTGATCAAATATAAAAACTTTTTAGCTTGCATTTATCTTCAAGATATTGAAGATTCTACTTAAAAAAAGAAAAGGCTCAGAAGAGCTCAAAGTAAATGATGTGGTTTGAGTGTGGGCTGTGTGAATCATGTTACAATAATTTTGATAAAACTCTTTAATGTGAGCTTTCCTGTGCTTAGGTTATTTGAAGAACTCTATGAAGACCATGGGGATACCTTGTCCCTTCAGTATGGTGGTTCTCAGCTTGTTCACCGTGTGAAAACCTACAGAAAGATAGCTCCGTGGACCCAGCACTCAAAGGATATCATGCAGACCTTGTCTAGATATTACAGCAATGCTTTTTCAGGTAATTTTGGAGTTAACAGATACTTCTAAAACTTCTCTGCTGTGCATTTTTTTCTTTCATGTGTACTTTCCCCAGCCATCTGGCTAAGTAACATCAAAATTAAATCTTTAAATAGAACACAGTCTGTCACTTAGAAGGTGCTCAGTATATATTCCTTTTATAAAAGAATGAATACACTTTTTGTATTTTGAATTGGGCACTATTAACAAATGCAAAATGCGTTGATTCCTTGGCTTCTGTCTCCTATATTTCTTTATCTCTGTCCTTGCAGGACACAGATAAAGGTGTTTGAGGATATTGAATCCTTATTTTATTCAAGTAGGGTTCATAGTTTTGACAGTTTTCTAAGAATGGGAACGTTGCTAATTTTTAAAATGCCAACTAGAAAGAAATACTAATATTAGCACTAAATTAATTTCTTTATTTTATGACTTGTGAATGGAAAGGATAACACAATGTTAAAATTGCGCACTTTCTGCCTCTATTACGACAGAATTTCCAACAAAGTAGATATCATAGCTATTACCAAAGTGAGGGTTGGGACAAATTTCTGTGTACAAAAATTGCCAAGAAAGTGTTCAGTGATTAACATCATGAATCTTAGGAGTCTTGAACCAGGTGAAGGAGAAAAAAGTTCATTGAGTGTGGAAAGGAGAAGATTGGTGACGAGAATGGCTGAAGTGAACTGTTGCCATGTAGTGACTCTCACTCACCCCTACTCCTTCATCTCAGGCCTAGAGAGAGGAGGCTTCAAGGGGACTCTGGCACTTGAAGGTTGATGTGGCACTCGGCCAGTGGAGGGACCCAGACAAGCTGAGGATGCAGTACCAGATCTGGTCACTTACTGATGACCAGATCTGAGCCTGAGAGAGGAAGGGGTTGGCATGGGGCTGCTCTCGGTCTTGTCCTGTAAGCCTCTGTGAAGGAACTCCAGCAGTGAGAACTGGGAGGTGAACACTAGATTCCCAAGGTGCTGAGGGAGGAGTTACAAGAAGCTGCTTGGAATAAAGAAATACATCAACCCGCACCCTGTTGTTGTTTAGTGCTGTTGAGTCCGTTCCGACCCATAGCGACCCTGTATAGGGTTTCTGATGAGCAGCTGGTAAGCGTGAACTGCTGAGCTTGCTGTTCAGTCTGGCACATTAACTCACAGTGCCACACCAGGACTCCAGCCCGTACCCTAGGGAACCGAAAAAGTCTATCTTGTGATGGGAGCTTCTGAAGAGTCCTGGAAGTACCCATGAAAGAATCAGCTTTCAGCGTTTTCCAGGTCCACAGAAGGCAAAACTGCTGACTTGCTGTGCTTCAATTCAAATGTGTTACTTTTTTATGCTGGATAACAGATGACCACAAATTTAGTGGCATATAACACACACCTTTGTTTGCCATCTTACTCTTTCAGTAGTTTAGAAGGCCAGGAGCAGCTTAGCTGGGTTCTCCAACTTCAGGTCTTCTAGGCTGAGCCATAAGACTGAGAACTTTGTGAGCAGCTTGCTCATCACTGAGTCCCTAGTGCTTTGATTAGAACAAGTAAATATTTGTAAAATTAATGAATAAATATGCTTAATTAATGTTATCCATGTTTCCCTTTTTCCTCAGTTAAACTAATTAAAAATTTGTAAGACTAAGTGTGTTGGCCTACTAGCATATAATCTATGCATAATGATCTTGTCATTGTTGTTAGGTGCCATCGAGTCAGTATTGACCCTTAGGACCTTATGCACAGCAGAACGAAACACTGCCCGATCCTGGGCCAACCTCACTACTTTTGCCACGCTTGAGTCCATCGATGCTGCCACTTGGCCAATCCATCTCATTGGGGGTCTTCCTCTTTTTCTGTGATCCACCACCTTACTAAACATGATATCCTTTTCCAGTGACTGGTCCCTCCTGACAATATGTCCAGAGTATGAGGGACAAAGTTTGGCCATTTTGGCCTCTAAGGAGCACTCTGGCTGCACTTCTTCCAAAACGCATCTATTGGTTCTTTTGGCAGCCCATGGAACTTTCAATATTCTCCTCCAACACCATAACTCAAAAGCATCAATTCGTCTACGGTCTTCCTTATTCACTGTCCAGCTTTTGCATGCATATGAGGTTTTTGAAAATACCATGGCTTGGGTCAGGCACACCTTAGTCTTCAAGCTGACATCTTTGCTCTTCAACACTTTACTCCCATGGGATATCAAAGAGATTGTCCGATGAGTTCCTCATTCCGTTGGGTCACCTCTCTTTGGAATGAGCACATTCCAAAGATACGGATATCTTCCAATCAGTTGGCCAGATAGTTGTCTTCCAGATTTCTTGGCAGAGATGAGTGAGTGCCTCCTGTGCCGCCTCACTTTTCTGAAAGATTTCAGTTTTTATTCCATGAATTCCTGGTGCCTTGTTCTTTGCCAATAGGCTGCTTCAATAATTTACTTTGAATTCACTGAGAATTATGTCCAGTGTGTTTCTCAGCATACCAAAAATCAGAATCTACTACTACAGGTAATAAGAGTGTTTAGAATAAGAACACCCACACTTGCAGATAATACCCACTTATCCTGGCTTCAATGACTGGATGATCAGAGCTCAAGCAGAAGTAAAAAGAAGAGGAAAAAAAAAAAAGTATTCTCATACAGTTTGATGAACTTGACCTACACCTATGGAAGCAGTAGCTCAAAAGAGGGAACAAGTCCTTACAGCAAGAATCATTCCCATCCCCTCCACACACAGAGTAGACAGGGATGGGCAACTTGGACATTGGCTACCCAAAATGAGGGGCAGGGGGCTACAAAGGCAAGAAGTGACTGGCTTACAAGCTTTCAAGAGGGAACCTAGATCCAGAGGGCCTGGAGGAAGGTAGAATCTCCAGTGAGTAGTATTCAGTCTGACTAGGCGGGGCTGATGCAATGAAATACAGACGGGTCTCTTGTGATACAATAGTGAATAATTGTTATCAGGACTGAATGTGAGGGTTGGAAAGGTAAAGGTAGACGTTTTATAGCAAGGAGCGGAGTGATTAACTTTTCAGTCTAGGAGCAGAGGTCCCTAGGACCATCAAGGGAGAAGAGCAGAGAGCGGGACCCTACCCAGAGAAGCAGTGATGCTTGAAATGGAGGCAGAGATGATGACGTGGAGCGATGGAGCAGCTGGAGCAGCTGGAGACTTTAGATCCAGAGAGGGAGAGCGACTGTGTGCTGAAGACCTGGAGGGTACAGGGGAAGGATTGCAGGGTGGGGATTGTAACCATGTCAATGAGACGATATACGATAGAATGAATGTAAAACTAATGTTATCCCATGTAAACTATCACATAATTCACAATAAAACTTTTAAGGAAAAAAAAAAGAGTGTTTAGATACTCTCCTTTATGCATGACACTTTAAATTTATGCTTTAGACCTTAAAAAATCCAAGTATATTGTTTTTATTAAGGGCCATTGAATCTGTTGTGACTCATAGTAACCCCATATAGGGTTTCCGAGGTGTGGCTGGTGAGTTTGAACTGCCAAACTTGTGGTTCAAACCTATCTTGTGGTCCAGTGCACTGTCTCACAGCATCATTAATCTAAACAAAGTTTAAGGGTTCAGCGAGACCCTACATACAACAGAATGAAACAGTGTCTGGTTCTGTGCCATCCTTACAATTTTGTTCTTTTTGAGCCCACTTTTGCTTCCAGTCCACCTTGTTGGGGTTTTCCTCTTTTTCATTTTACCAAGCATGATGTTCGTCTTCAGGGTCTTTTCTGACAACATGTCCAAAGTACAAGACATCCACCCTTACTCCTAAGGAACATACTTGACTGTACTTCTTCCAAGACATATTTGTTTGTTCTTGTGGCAGTCCATGGTACTTGCAATATTCTTCACCAAGGCCATAATTCAAATGCATTGATTCTTCTCCTGTCTTCGTTATTCATTGTTTAACTTCACATGCATATGAGGTGATTGAAACTACCCTGGCTCTGGGTCTGGCTCACTTTAAAGTGGCATTTTTGCTCTTTAACACTTTAAAGAGTCTTTTGTAGCAGATTTGCCTAATATAATACAGCATTTGATTTCATGACTGCTGCTTCCATGGGCAATGACTATGGGTCCAAATAAAATGAAATCTTTTTCAACTTCAATCTTTTCTCCGTTTATCATGTTTTTTCTTTACATTGTGAGGATTTTTATTTTCTTTACATTGAAGTGCAATTCATACTGAAGATCTGTAGTCTTTGATCTTCATCAGTAAGTATTTCAAGTCCTCTTTCCTTTCAACAAGGAAGCTTGTGTCATCTGCATATCACAGGTTGTTAATGAGTCTTCCACCAATCCTGATGCCACATTTGTCATATAATCCAGCTTCTCAGATTATCTGCTCAGCCTACAGATTGAATAAATACGGTGGAAGGATACAACAACCCTGGTGCATACCTTTCCTGATTTCAAACCATTCTCTATCCTCTTGTTCTGTTGGAACAACTGCCTCTGGGTCTTTGTACAGCTTCCCCATGAGAACAATTAAGTGTTCTGGAATACCTATTCTTCAAATTGCTATTCATAGTTTGTTATGATTCACATTGTCAAATGGTTTTGCATAGTCAAAAAAACACAAGTAAACTTCCTTCTGATAATCTTTGCTTTCAGGCGAAATCCATCAGCAATGATAGCCTTCATTCCATGTCCTCTTCTAAATCCAGCTTCAGTTTCTGGCAGATCCCTATTGATGTGCTGCTGCAGCCATTTTTTGAATAACCTTCAGCAAAATTTTACTTGTGATATGTGATATTACTGATGTTCAGTGATTTCTGCATTCTATTGGGACATCTTTCTTTGGGATGGGCATAAATATGATGGATCTCTTCCAGTTGATTGGCCAGATTTCAGGCCAATCAACTTCCAAATTTCAGGCTTCCAGTTTGTTGAAACATTTCAACTGGTATTCCATCAATTCCTGGAGACTTGCTTTGTGCAACTTTTATGTCTTCCTTTAGTATCATCAGTTCTTGATCATGTTCTACCTCTTAAAAT